ATTTTAGAAGAGTGGTTTTCAATGTTGGCTGTATATTAGAATCATCTGGGAAGCTATAAACTCTAAAAACCATGCTGATACCCCTCTAGGGATTCTGGTTTAATTGGACCGGTGTGGGGCTCAAACATCAGTAATTTGTAGAAAGGACTATATTCCAGGTGGTTTTCATGCGTAACCAGTATTGCGAAGCACTGAGTTAGAAAAACCACAGGTGGGGCACAAGCTTGATTTCTCAGGCCTTCCCCCTCCTGGTTCTGATTCCCTGCTTGCGCTGTGCCCTCTATTTTCCATGTCCCATCACTGGCCAGCTGGACCGAGCGACTACTACACAGACTACGTGGCCACCCGCTGGTACCGCTCCCCAGAGCTGTTGGTGGGGGACACGCAATACGGCCCCCCAGTGGATGTTTGGGCGATTGGCTGTGTCTTTGCTGAGCTGCTGTCAGGGGTTCCTCTGTGGCCAGGAAAATCAGATGTGGATCAGCTCTATCTGATTAGGAAAACCTTGGGTAAGTGCTGGGTTTTGTCCCATCTTTTGGAAGCCAGATAGTTTTACCCATGTCAGGGCAGAGCCAAGTTCTTAGTCTCATCCAGTGCCCGTTACGGTCACGAAAGAAGGAAACTCTCAGAGTCTCACTGTAATGGCTCCATGAACGGTGTCCTTTGCAGGTATAGGCCCTGACTGATACAGCACCAATGCAAGGAAGCCATAGAGCAGTGCTTGCTAACTGATCTAATTTTTTTGAGTGGATGAAAAAACACTGTTTTTCTATTTTTTGTTTTCAAAAAATTTTTATTGAAGTATAATTGACTTACAATATTGTGTTAGTTTCAGAAGACTATACCCAGTGTTTTGTAATATATATATATAACTGATCTAATTTTACCTTTCTCTTTCTTCTTGTCCAAAGGAGACCTCATTCCTAGGCACCAACATGTATTTAGCACAAATCAGTACTTCAGTGGGGTAAAAATTCCAGACCCTGAAGATATGGTGAGTGACCTATTTTGGTAAGAGTCCTGCAGGTCAGAGCTACGTTTACCAGGGTATTTAAGTGGTGTTCATTCTCACTCAATGAATATACATGAGGAGTTGCAGTCTAACTAGGTTTTGATAGTTCGGCACCTGCCTGAGCTCCATGGTCCTCTTGGCACCAGAAGATCAGTCTAAGAGTGGAAAAGAAAACTGGGGCAAATTCACTACAAGACCCTGGCCTTCAGTGCTAATTTACAGACAGCTAATAGCAGAGCATAGCCATCATGTTGGACAGGATTGCGGAGCTGCCTGCCCCAAACTCACCTGTCCATCATTTTCAGCAGTTGAAACTACAAAGCTCAGAGCTGATCAGCTTGTAGGTGATGACTCCTCCAGGAAAATCCAGCATGGTCCAAACCTCTACTCTACTGCGCGCTCAGTTCCAGACCGTGGGGGAAAATGGTGATGAACTTGCTTGGCCAGCCTCACTCTGATACCTGTTCTTTTGGCTAATGTGGAGAAAACACTTATTTTTCAAAAACTGAAAAAATTTAAAATGTGCATAGTTTAAACCACTTTCAAGAATTTAGTCCAGTGAAACTATTAGACAAGAGTATAAAGATACAACAAACATTCTTTAATGGAAATATGACATTCTTTAACAGAAATCATTTCCTTTAGTGTTCCATCAGTAGAGAATTAATTAAATAGGTTATGGTATGTCCTTACAATAGAAATACCACATAGCCAATAAAAATAATTAGATTCATATGTAATCACCTGATAAAAAAAGGTCCGTAACATATTACTAAATGAAAAGAAGTTATAAAACCGTATACATAATTTTACATAATTTTAATAAATTTAAATAAATATGCATGTTTACATGTATAAATATAATATAACCTCAAGAAAATCAGGCTAGAAAGATTTTTATGTTTGTGAAATAAATGGCTGCAAGGTATAGTATACCAAAATATTAACAGCGAATGTCTCTTTGTGGTGAGACAATTTGTTTCTTTCTTTATGGTTTTTTAAATATTTTCAAGTGTCTTCCAATGAGCCTGTATTATAATCAGAAACATTTCAGAACACAGTTAAGTTCTATGAAGTCCAGGAAGGTAGTTTCACACTGAAGTGAACCCTCCTCCATTGCTCAGTTTCCAGGTGGAGGCTCCATCCGGCTCCATCAGAGCTGTCTGTCCCTGCAAACTCGGCCTGTCCTGCAGTGAAGTCTCCCACCTCCCACTGCCCTGCCGCCCCGCTCCGGCAGCACTGGGAATAGGAAAAGTGGGGCAGCGGGGAGCCTTCAAGGCCACAGAAGCAGGAATGACACCTGACATATGGCAGGCGACCCAGCTGCTCCCTTGTGATCTGGACATTCCCAGGGTCACTTCCTGTTCGCTCTTCTACCAGTGAAACCTCAGAAAGAACCCAGGTTTCATCAGTGTAAAAGGCTTCCCATGGTTTCCCAGAGGTTGTCCTGCAGAGGATTTCCTGTCGACAGGAACACAGGAAGACACAGTGTGGGCTGCGCAGGTTGAGTATCTGTGCCCGAGTCCCTCTGCCGGTCAGCAGCCCTGCCCGAAGGAGGCCTGCATGCTCCTGGGGCAGGGAAACCGGCTAAGCAGGCAGGATGGATCCCTGCCTATCGCAGCCAACCAGCTGGCTTCGTTCCAGGCGTCCTTGCTGAAACAGCAGACCTCAGTGTCAGCAATGTCAAGGCAGTCTCCAGTGGCGCTCAGATTCAACACACAGAAACAGCGAGAGAAATAGTTTAGCTTTGGGAGTAGAGTGGGCTGCTCTCAAAGGCTCATACAGATCTGCTTTAGGATTTTATTTTTCCCTATTGATCTTAGGCAACTCCACAACTGAGGCTCTTATCTTATCAGTGATGAATAACTGCACACTTGGGAATTGGTTGCTGTTGGCTGGTTCCCTGGACTAAGTAACACTGTGCTCTTAAGCTTGATGGCAGCACCAGGGAACCGCCGTCTTTATACACACAGTTCATCTCAGTCATTTATTTTACTCAGCCTGGTTAGCTCTTAGTTTCTCTGTTTTCCTCCTTTTTAGCTTCTTTATCAGTGGTGTGGGCCTTCCTGGTGGCTCAGACGGTAAAGAATCCGCCTGCAGTGTGGGAGACTTGAACTGGCCTGTCTGCCTGACATACGGCATTCCTTCTATTTTATAGTGTTTCTTATTCCTGATTGTCGCCTGCTTGTGACCAGAGCAAAATAGCCTTAAATGGCCAAAGGGAGATTGATGGATATCTGCTCAGGAGACTCTCTAAACAGTAGGATAATCAGGGGGCTAGCAGGCTCCTGTGGGAGGAGAGAACAGTGTTTATTCCAGAAAACCAAGAACATCTGTTCACCTGGGTGGGGGGAAAAAAATCTTTGTTACATAGCTCCCTTTAGGTAAATGTCAATAAATGCCATAATTAGGACCCCTTTCTAGAAATGCCAAACGTTATTCTGAGACAAGGCAAGTTACATAAATTGGAGCAGAAAACAGGGAAATAACAATTGCTTGACGAATGTTTTTTTTCTTTTTCTTTTTTTTCATTAGTATTCCCTCACCGTTTGCTACCTGAATCTGTTCTTTAGGAAGTAAAGGGGGTAAATGGTTAGGAAGAAATTTTGGAAAAGCAGTTTGGAGGATGGGGGAGAGTATAAGCTTATAAAACATTTTGGAAGTGGGGAAAGAAGGAACTTATGAAACAGACATAGGTGGGAGGTGGGGTGGGCAGAGGGTGGAGGAGGCAAAGAAGTTTCCAGGAAGATGCTTCTCGCACTCAAAAATTCAATCTGAAGTAACTTTATATTTGAATATATGCTGTAAATAAAATCCCTGTTTTCTTTCTTTCTTTTTCAATAGGAACCGCTTGAATTAAAATTTCCAAACATCTCTTATCCTGCCCTGGGCCTCTTAAAGGTAAAATCATGGCTTCCAACAGACCTGGGAATACAGTACAACTGTATCATTGGGGAATCTGAATGATTTATGTCAGTCCATGGATTGAAAAGTGTTCCTTTTAGAATTCTTCTCACTTGAAAAGTATATGTACTTTTCATTTTTAAAATGAGTCATGTAACAGTGAAAACATCTGTAAGTATTTTTCACTTTAAATAACCCTAATATTGTACTTGAAATGTAAATTTACACAAAATAGAAATTTAAGAGGAGGAATGTTTGTTTTACAAAAAGGATCCTTTTCTTAAAAAAACAAACAACTGCTTAGCCATAGGATTCTTTTAAATAACCAACTCTCTAATATATTGAAAGTAGGTTCCAACTTTAAAATTTGATTTCCATACACATTTTCAAAAGTATATAGTCCTTGTGTAAAATAAGGTACCAATTAAAATATTTGCAAGTTAAGGTCAATGTCCCACCCATTATAAAAAGTATTTAAAACATTTACTGATGCATTTATAATTTTAGAAATGAGACAGTTCCTTGAGGTATGTAATTGTGAGATTTAATCTATCCAAGTATGAGCCCGCTAGCCTATTTACTGGCATAGGAAATAGTTAAGAATGATGTGACGTAAAGAGAGGTATGTCTCTTCTTCCTTACATACATGTAATACATAGGCTATTTCTGGAAGAATATACAAAAAATGACTGATTTTAGATGACAGAATAGGAGAACTAGATTGATGGAGAGACTTTGCTACATACTGTATGAAGTTTATTTTCATCATGTGTAGGTATTATTTTTTAAATAAAAAAAACTAGCTTTTGCAAAGTACAGTCAAGTGCCCAAAATTGGTTAGGAGAATTATTCTAGTGGGACACTGAGGTGAACTCAAAAATCATGTCCTAGTCCCTCAGGGCAGAGCACCGAATGCCTCAAGAACAGAACAAGGTGAAGAAAATGATTTGTTACTATTTCTAGAAACTATTTATTAATTCATTATGTGGTTACCCATTCAGGAATGATTGTGGAAGGAATGATTGGTGTGTTTTTCTTACTTTTTCCTCCTTTTATTCCCAACTGAAGAGTTTAATATTTCAAAGAAGAAAAAATGATATTAGGAAGTTTATACAGTTTGATAGAGTAAGAAGAGGGGATTTTCTGTTCTTTCAGGGCTGTCTCCACATGAATCCTGCCCAGAGACTGACCTGTGAGCAGCTGTTGCAGCATTCGTATTTTGACAGTATCAGAGAAAAGGGGGATTCGGCAAAAGAGCAGGAGAAACCAACAAAGAAGACCCTACGACAGAGCCGAAAGCACTTGCCGGGGGTAAAAATGGGGCACTGCTTTACAGAAACATGCAAGGTTGCAATTTCAAATGAGTTCATACCTGCCGTCTGGTACAGAGTCTGAATCTGTATTTGAGGTGAGGTTGTGGCTTGCAGTTCCAGCATCCGTTATTCTTGCGTGAGGACACACAGGTCACAAGATCTACCGGCCAGGGTCCCAGAGACACAACCTGTTACGGGCCCTTCTTCCTGAATCCTAAAGACGACCTCGCCTAGTGGCTCCCTGCTGCCTCCCAGGGGCCAGGGCTTTTGGTGTGCAGGAGCACAGGCGGAGACCAGGGTGTGAATCCCGCTGGGCATGCTTCTTGTGCTTTGGAAAAGGAAATTAAATTTACCCAGGCAGCTCTCTGTCATCATGTTTACCTTCAGTATTGATTGACATTCCAGCTTCATCTGAAAAGTGAGCTGTTTTCCTCCTTGGCCCGTTAATCATCAGAGCTGGCTACGGTAAATGTGGTGGTGAGTGCTTTCAATGAGCACGCTATCCAGGCTGCATACTGGGAGCCTGGGAAGATTTGTGATTGCTGGAAAGTGGGAAGTGTGGCCTTGCATGAAGGGTCTTGTCATAAGCCAAGAGCTGTAATGATTTAGAATGGATTGTATTGGGACCACAGTTAGGATGAGCTGGCTGCTCCCGATTGCTTCTGGATCTGCTCAGGTGCCCCTTAAGCTTTAAATTATCTTGCCTTAGTCTTTCCCTTTGAAGCTTCCACTGCTGAGTGGCATCTGGGTGGTGTCTGTGAGGTTTGGAGGAGAGAAGAGGGTGGATGGTCCATTAAGGAACAGGTATAGCATGAAACCCAGTGCCCTGAAATAGACCAGAGTTAGGAAGTTAAGAGTGCTTTTCATACAAAGCAGACTGGAGATAGACTTTCCCCTCAGAGTTTCCTCTTACCTTACTGTTTCTTTGCGTTCAGGAGTAAAGGGTCTTGATAGAAATATTTTTACTTGAAAGAATAGGGGAACCTCACTAATTTTAGTATATCGCTTGTAGGTTTGATTCAAAAGTCCTGAAAAGTATTCGTTTTTCAGATACCTAAGTCCATATAGTACCATAAAAAAGATGTGTTCCCTTGCTTTTGTTTGACATTGAGGATGAATTCAAACATTTTCTGGCAGCATTAAAGGAGCAGTTTTGCCTTTTTAAGTAAGGTGTGAAGTGAAGTGAAGTGAAGTCGCTCAGTCGTGTCCGACTCTTTGCGACCCCGTGGACCCACCAGGCTCCTCCGTCCATGGGATTCTCCAGGCAAGAATACTGGAGTGGGTTGCCACTTTAAGTAAGGTAGTAGGTGGCCATCTGAATGCTTCAGACATCAGTTTTCTTTGCTGTAAGACAAGGTATTGGCTTAAATGATCCCTAAGTTCCCAGCAAGCTCTTAACTCCTGTGAATCTGTGATTTTTCCCCAATAAGGTTAACATGTAGATTTCTCCTTCCTTTTCATATCCTCTAAATTTCCTTTAATGTACATGTTTTGCTTTATAATAAACAATAAACCTTGAAAAGCAGAGACCAGATTTACAGGAGGCGGTGAGCTCCATGTCCCTCAGTTTCTCCGTCTTGATTGGAGCCCCTGAGGTCCAGATGTAAACATTCTGTTCTCTCTCAGATCCCGGATTCTATGCAGAAAGAGTATTTCTGTGCTGAAAAAATTATTTACCTTTTTTTGAATGTGTTATGGATAATGAAGAAAGTGTGTGGCACTGAACGTAATTCTGTTTCATATTTTCAGTTGCAGTGCCTACCTCAGCTGACCAGCAGCAGCATCCTTCCAGCTCTGGATAACAAGAAGTATTGCTATAACACCAAGAAACTTAACTACCATTTTCCAAATATTTAAAGAGCTTGGAGATTGATGATAAAAAAAGAGTTGATCATCAATTTGAATAAAACACACATGGTTGAAAACAATCACAATGTTGGAAAAAGCCTCAGGAGAAAACTTAAGTAGCTAAGTGGGGGAGGCCACATGGCAAGATGTGAAGGAAAATTCCAGAGGCAGTCTTCCATGCATGACGATGCCGTCCAGAACAGAAAGGAACAACTTCTTTGGATTTTCACTTGTATTTTTATTGTATCTAAGTAGCTGAGCTGATGGACAGAATATAAACTGTATCTACTGTACTCGCCCATACCTCTGGCAAAATAGAGATGCAAGAAAAAAAAAAAAAGATTTATGCTATAATCGTACCAGATAGAACAAGTGAAAATGGATTACAGAATGCCCACATATTTTTTTTTGGATCTCTGTTGCTTTGAGTCCTATCTCCTGCCTCTTGAGATTTTCTCATCATATTTAAGGAGGGTTTTAGTTCTGAAAAGCAAAATGTTTAAAATTCCATTTCCTGCTTGTTCTAGTTCTTGATTTTTATATATGGAAACTTCTTGAATATTTGAGTCATTCAAAATATTTAAAATCATATGGATTATCATAAAAGGACTGTAATTTATCTGCTTATATATTTAATGATGTGTTTATAGACACTTCTTACATATACTTTGGTCTTTGGTAAATGATGCATCTTAGTCATTTTTGCAGGCAAGATGGGTTGACTATAATCTGTCTACATTTGTTCACCCAGTTACCCTTACAAACAATGGCATGAAGCTTGGTTGTTGACCAAGGGGTAGAACAAGATCTACAGGCTTTGCAAGAACTGATCCTGCCAGCCTGAAAGTAATTAATACTCCATTCTCTCCAGTTCAGCCTCAGACCTGGAGACAAAGCAACAGGCAGGATTATATACAGTGATCTGGGTTTTGGAAGAAACTGCTTATAAACTTTCACTTGGGTTGTAAGAGACATTATGTTTTAAGTTGATATTTTCCCTGAAATATCTTTTTACACTCTATGTATATGTTGTATATATGTGTATACTGCACATGCCTATATGTGTGTATATATACTAACCTAACAACTAAATGCTAATAGGCCAAAGTGATATTATTGAGAATTGCTAGCTTTGTACAGTGATACTTAAAATGATGACATATAATTACCTTTGATTTGGCCTATTGTTTCTATTCAAAAAGCTTTTTCATCTTTGTCCCCTGGACATAAGGGCAGTATGAAGCTGATGTCTGTTTCTTATTGCTCAACCCCATTTTTGATTGATGTGCCGCTATTTTGTAGCAGTTCTCGGCCATGGTTTTTGAAGATGTACTTTACTGTTTACTGTATCTTCAAAACATTTCTTCTGCACTTCAGTTTACTGCTATATTAATTTTCTTCATGACAGCATTTGACTGTTTTCACTTACTGCACAGTGATCTACCAAATTCTGGCATCTGTTCAATAATTTTGACTACCCAGCCAGATAGCCTGAGGCTTCCTGATGTATGTAGCTTCTTGCATAGAGCTGACAGTGGGCTAAATAACCAGTCACAATATAATCTAATTCTTGTTACATAGACTTGATTCAAATGACTAAGAAGGACATCCAACTTCTGCAATGGTGTAAATTTTGTATTTTCTTTTTTCCTTACCCCTAACAATGCACTTGACGAGGCAGATGACTGTAGCTGCCTAATTTATCCAGTATTTTTAAAGAATCCCATTCAGAATAGAAAAGTATCTCCAGACTAACTTGTGGTCAATCAGTTGCTTCATCACATAGTAATCAAACAAATCTGAGATAGAAGTGGTCATTTTTTTCTGACTTCTATAAAATGTATGCTTATACTTAACCATATCCATGAGCCTTTCTTCATCACGGAATCACCAGTTTCACATGAGACAAACATTTTCTGATTTTTTAAATGACAGTGGCAATTATATTAGTAAATAGTATATAATTTATGGCACATGCTATTTACATAATCCAGTTTCTAAACAACGAAAATTCATTTTTATACTATAAGGGTGCATCGCAGAAAGTGTTTATTTTAAAACTATCCCCAGTCAAGGTTATATCCAACAGAATAATGTTCAAACATACAGACATCCACAAACAAGTTGGTATATAACTAACAATAATAGAATCAGGGCCATTTCAAACAGGTAAAAATGAAGATCTGATTTTATCTATTTATGATATTCATTATTACTGTGTTCTAGACATAAAGTGAATTTTGTGCTCATACTCATGGGAAATACTATCCAACATATGTGAGGGAATACAAATTCTAATTGACATGTTAAATTTTTCCTCTTTAAGCAGTTTTTAAATTTAAGCAAAAAATAGGTAAAGCTGTGCTGGTCTTCATCATTGTTTCCTCTGGTTTATTGGAATAAGCAAAGTTGTTTAAATCCAGCCAAGTATTTATATTTAGTTTTAATAAAACACCAGATTAAGCCTACAGACTAGACAAATTAGCCAGAAACTGTTTATTCAGAGAAAGGATGTATGTTACAAAGAGCACAGATATGCAGGATCATGAGAAATGCATACAAATCCTGGGAAGAAATGGGAATGCTCCAATAACCTCTGATGCATAATTGACTCCATCAATGAATCTGAAATTTAGCTTTCAGTTTTTCATAATTGTACATTTATAGTGACATGCTTCAATAACTTTAAAATGAAACAAATTACTGTCAAAAAATAAATATCTGTACTGTACATTTAAATAATTTTAAAGAACTTAAGTATCTATATCAGATATTTATATAGATACCATTATAAAATAAATAATATATTAAAATTAAAAGGGTATCTGATTTGCACTTAATATGATTTAGTGTACATAAATTCTTACTTACAACTTAGTAATTTTAGTGAATCACATCTGAATGTTTATTTTCTACATGATGGACTCTGCTAGAATGTCATAACATCCTTATAGTTCTGATAATTATACAATATTTATTGCTGTTAAAGATCAATTTAAAATGATACTCTAACACTGAATTAAGATACTTATTGAAATATTATTTTATTTCAAGTCTAATTTTAGCTCCAGAGAAGGCAGTGATGTCTTAAAGGCTTGAACAATTTTTTCTTTTTCTTTTACTCCAGGCAGATCACTTAGAAACAAATACTTGAGGTTCCTGCAAAAAAAAGAAATTTTTAAAAGTTAATGTAATTTGACCTTTACTCTTATAACATTAGAAATAAACTTGTTTTATTGGCTTTTTAAGAAATTACACACAGTGTGTGTTCATATCATCCTACACATTCAAAATGACTTTTAGAACAGTAGTCTTAGAGTACTACTTTAAATGAAATTCATGCTAGGAACTAATCTAGACTTTGGAAAGTTTAGTTGTTCTGGTTATGTCAATAATTCTGCTGAGTTTTTCCAAATATGTATATTATGGCATAGAACTCCTTTGATGCTAAATATAAAATATGACAGTTGTAATTATGATTTTTTTAATTTGACACTGAAAGTAAAAACAATTAAAGCAAAAATAAACAAGTGGAACTGCATCAAGTTGAAAAGTTTCTGCACAGCAAAGAAAACCATTAACAAAATGAAAAGGCAACCTACTGAACAGGAGAAAATATCTGCAAGTCATATATCTGATAAGGGGCTAATATCCAAAATGTATAAACTCATACAATTCAATAGCAAAAAACCCGAACAATCCAATTTTTAAAATGGGCAAAACATCTGAATAGACGTTTTTCCAAAGAGGGCATACAGATGGAGAACAGGTACATGAAAAGATACACTACATCATTATCAGGGAAATACAAATCAAAACCACAATGAGATAGCACCTTACACTTGTTAGAATGGCTATTATAAAAAAGACTAGAAATAAGTGTTGGTGAGAATGTAGAGGAAAGGGAAACTTGGTGCGTGGTTGATGGGACTGTAAATTGGGACAGTCATATGAAAAACAGCATAAAGATTCCTCAAAAAATTAAAAAAGAACTACCATATGATTCAACAATTCTATGTTTCAGTGTTTATCTGAAGAAAACAAAAACACTAACTCAACAAGACATCTGCACAGCCCTGTTCAGTGCAGCATTATTTACAACAGTCAATATACAGAAACAACCGAAAGGTCACTGATGATCAATGGATAAAGGAAATACAGTATATGCATATATGTAGTATTGAGCCATAAAAAAGAATAAAATTCTGCATTGACGGCAAACCCGATGGACCCCGAGGATATTATGCTAAGTGAAGTAAGTCAGAGAAAGACAAATACTGTATGATCTCCTATATGTGGAAGCTAAAAATAAATAAGCAAGCTCATAGATACACAAAACAGATTGGTGGTTATTACCAAGATGGGGTGAGAAGCAGGAAAAATGGGTGAACTGTGTTATGTTTCTGCTTTTATTTTAAATGAAATTGAATTTTAAAAATATGAATCTTAACCTAGAAAGGAAAAGAAACTGGGGAAGTTCTTAAAACAACTCAAGTTTCTATTAAGAGATGAAGCCACAAAGCCTGAATTAGTGTAAGAGACAAACAATCTTGTACTTTTGGTTCTAATGTTTAAAATTTCTCAAAGTTCCTGTGATGCTGAGTTTATTGGCAGAACATGGGGGAAAAATACTTTAAAAGATGAGGAGGAAAAAAAAAAAGATGAGGAGGAAGTATAATAGCTAATGTTTACTGAGAGCACCAACAACTGTAATAGGCATCATACTAGGTGCTTTATGTAATTGATTTTTTTAAAAAAGATGCTTCCTAAAAAATGCAATACAACTATAAGATATTAAAGTTGATAACTTCAACTGTTTTAAAGTACTGTGGCTGAAGGTTAAATCATTTTTTTAAATTCTGTTTTTCAGAATTAAAAAAAGATACCATCTCTCAACTGTTTTAACTGATTATTCACCTTACCATGATTATCAAGTTTCCATTTTGACTCTGACCACTTACCTGAAATGATGCAAAGCAATGATACCTTTGTCTGTGATATTCCCACATGAAATTATTTCCATTTCCAACATGCTTTTTCGTAAATTTTCAAGTTGGCTAAGTCTCTCCAAACAACCATCCTCAATATAGTGACACTTGCATAGTCTTATTTTTTCAACATACTGTAGGCCTTCTGGAGGGGAAAAAAGTACAGTTTAAGAACTTGCTTTACCATTAAGATGATCAACTCTCCTAGTTAGCCCAGGACTGTTCTGGTGTAAGGACTGAAAGTCCTAAGTCCTAGGAAACCTCTTAAGCCCAGGAAAACTGGAACAATTAGTCACCCTATTAACCACACAAAGTATTCACTACATGGGTTGTGCTGACACACAAGGCCATTCTACAGTCAGATGCCCATGCAGTGAGGAATGAAATGCCCACACAAGCAGAGGCTGTGTGGATATAATTATTTCTGTATTAGTCAGGGTTATTCAATGACAGAAGTTTGACAAAGATAGTTTGACAAACAAGACCTTAAATATTAAGTCGATAAACCACGGCTTAGTGTGGAGAGAAAGGAGAGGAGGGTACTTGTAACCTCTGTGTAACTTAAAAATAAATATCACACACACGAAGATACAAGCTGGACTGGACTGAGAAGGACGAGAAGGACACCCGTATGACTATAAAAGTGAGTCAACTGCAACCAAAGGTCATTGCAAACCACCCGCATTTCCCATAACAAGTGGTAGAGGACTTACCCATGTGATCAAATCCAATGCTCATGATACAGGACTCAGTGGCGTCGATCGCCTGAATCTTGTATTTGTCCAGAGGGCCTGTTGGGAGATGGTTGTAGTCCTTCTGCCACCTCTCCTGGCCGTGGTAGCGCACCATGGCCCCGCAGCGCAGCAGCCACTCTGACGCCGCCCTGTCAGGACCAACGTCCCTGATGCGGTCGTGATCCACCCTGCGGACGAGAACAAAAGCAGGTCGTTTTTACTATAGTCCCTAGCTTCTTAGCTATGTTCACCAACATACATACAGAATAGCAACTACTTTTCACTTCATGTGATGAGGAGGGAGAAAAATCCATGTAAAGAAAACATTCAATGGTAGCTCTACTTGCTACCATTTTTGCTTTTGTTTTCAAGTGAATGCTGTCAAAGCATTTTTTTTTTTTTTTAATCTGAGTTTATCAGGCAGAGATGGGTCTTCATTGACTCGTATGCAGCACAGTAGCTTGACTCCAGGAGATACTCAGTAACTATGTATTGAACGAATGACAACCCTTGGTTATAATTTTTATTAATGATAAAAGATTAAAAAAGGGAATAATTTTGAACATTTGTTCAAATTAATGTCCTTAAGTGATCTCTACTAATTTTTACACATGCCTTTTTCTCTAGTTAGTGGTATTAATGCTGTATTAAGCAATGAGGAGGTTAGTTTTGCCAGTTTCAAAATAAGCATGCCACCAAATAACATTTTTAAAACTTGAATTCACTTGATAATATTCAAAAGGTTAACTACATTGCTTAAGTCACAGCATAAAATATTCTAACATTACTGAGTTTTTCTGATTATAAAAATAATAAAACATCATTTCAAAAAGCTTGAAAAGCACTGAAAGAATGAATAAAAAGAATCAATGAAGTCCTGCAACCCAGTCAGTTACAGTTAATAGTCTATAACCTATCTTTTTTTTGTCTTTATTCAATTTTTTTAAAAAGAAAATTAGGACCATACTGCATACACAACACAAATAACATCTGAAATATAATAAAACCAAATTAGCCACTGGGAACTCATTGAGCTGAAACAATCTCCATGTTTCTTCACTTTAGTAAGGGTAACTTACTTATTAAACACTGCATTCAACCAGCCCCAGAAGTATCGGGAGTCACATGACCATGGGAGTTTCTTTAAGCCACAGAGCTGCTGGGAAATTTTTCCAAACAGCATCATTTGCTCTAGACACATAAAATAGTATTCATATTAGATCATCAGTTGGCAATCAGAATCCATACATACAGTAACTTACTTCACAACTTCAGACTCAATGCTCTTGTGATGATAAAGCTGACTCACTTACCCCTCAATAGTTACTGAGCAAGTTACTGCTGTTTGTTTTTTTGGTTTCTTTTGCTGCAAAGGACGAGAGACAGAATTGGATGGTCTCTATGGTTCCTCCCAGCCTTGACATTGTCATACTTGTTCGATCTTCAGTTGGAGTCCGCCTGCAGTGGCGCCACCTGGTGTCCATTCAGGTAGTGCAGCTACAGATTTACCGAAGCCACTTCCAGTCCCGACTCACATTTCCAGTATCAAAATGACAAACTAAAGTCATCTAAGGAGCAATGTGTCAAGGTTAAGACACTTACACCCAGAAAAGGAGAGGAATCATGGAACTAGATCTTCCTATGACAAGATTGTAAGCAGTGTCCCTAGAACAGTGCAAACCAAGAACTATGCCAGGGCAGCTGGGAAAGACTGGACAAGCAACTTAACCTCTCTGACCCTTGGTTTTCTCATTTATAAAATGAGATGATTTGCTCAGATGATTTCCAGCTGTAAAAATCCATAACCATGAGTTGAGAAAGTGATTTCAGAACTGGGTCTCAACCTGACTTAAAGTGCCAGGTGGGGGGAAAACACAGACAAATGACACATTGTCTTCGAAGAGCTGACAACTTAATGCAGGGTAGAGTGAGTTAAAACAAGTCATCAGGTAGTTAAAATAAATGATGGAACCTGAAAAATACCTCAAAAGAGTTAAAGACAAACCAGGATTTCAACAGACAGAGATGCCAAGAAAAGGTAGGTCAGGTGACTAGCTGTGGTGGGAACGTTTAAGGCTTACTGTAGTTCAGTTGGCTTAGAACATGGGGGTCATGAGGAGACAGACAATGTACACAGCCACAGTGGGAAAGGTCTCCTGTGATCAGCCAGCGAATCTGGCTTCTGCAGGTAGCTAGGAGTCACTGAGTTTTCAGCACAGAGCACTGGCATGGTCAGAACTATGCTTCAGGAATATTACTCAGACAGCAGCAGCAAGAATGAGGGTCATTCAGAGATGAGGAAACTGAAGCCTTGATGTTAAGTAACTCACCGACACCCTAAAATCCTGGAAGAAGGTGGGGTATTAGTATATGCATGTGTTTAAAGGGACTTGCCCAGTGGTTCATGGCTAACTGTTAGCAGTGCAGTGCTGAAACCTGAACCTAGCTTTCGCCCCTGTTAGTCAAGGGCTCTTTCCTCAGTCATTGAATGGTTCTAGGACTCAAGAAAAAGAAGAGGACTAGAAAGAGTCCTGAGCTGAGGAAATGCCGGAGGATGTTGAGGCTGTGAACAACGAGAGCTGTGGTCTGAGGACAGTACCCTGGGGTCGTCTGCTACCTTCTTCCCTGCGTTTCCGCCATTACTCTGCCTTCATTACTACCAACTTGTCCCCAAGTTATAAACACTTCTGCCCACATTCTCAGACCTTCACTGCTTTTGGTTAATCTCTCACCACCCGTGCCCACTTCAGTAACTCCTTTGGCTGCCAACCATATTCACAAATTGGGTCTTTCCAGATTCATCTCAGACTGTTCCCTCCTAGTGTCCTCCCTGTCCCCACTATGGAAATCTTTCCCAACCTCAAGACTATTCAAATACCATCTCCATCCATCTATTCATTCAAGCAATAAATATTTAAAGATTTGAAGAAAAGTATGCAGAGCAAAACGAAGAGCAAAAATCACACATTCATGTCAATTATCCCTAACACCGGACACAGCACGATCCCCTAATGAAAGCTCAATAAATATTTGGAATTAACAATCTTCAATGGCTGATAAATTTTCATGCAGAAACAAACTGTCATTAAGCAGAAAAATTAGAGAAGTATGAAAACTGAAGTCACTTGATTCATTTTGGTCAACCTTATCTTTCAGCTTAAGAGAAAGATCAAATTTACTTCAGCTTATGATCTCTAGAAATACTGGATATTATATTCAAAATAATTTAAACATGAAAATTAAGTTTTTATTTTTCAGTAAACCTAAAAAAAATAACTGGTAGGTTTTTGCATTCTCAACTGTAATTTTGTTAATTAATTGATACTGAGAGTTTCAAATGAATTCAAGCATGTGGAAAATTCTGAAAGAGATGGGAATACCAGACCACCTGACCTGCCTCTTGAGAAACCTATATGCAGGTCAGGAGGCAACAGTTAGAACTGGACATGGAACAGACTGGTTCCAAATAGGAAAAGGAATACGTCAAGGCTGTATATTGTCATCCTGCTTATTTAACTTATATGCAGAGTACATCATGAGAAATGCTGGGCTGGAAGAAGCACAAGCTGAAATCAAAATTGCAGGGAGATCTCAATAATCTCAGATATGCAGATGACACNGCCTGGCGTACTGCAATTCATGGAGTCACAAAGAGTCGGACATGACTGAGCGACTGAACTGAACTGACCTGAACTGAACCTCTTAAGAATGCTTTCTAGAGGGAAAGAGGAGACCTCTGGTGGTGAGTTGGTGAATTTAGCTTTAATAAATGAAAAGAAGGGCTTCCGGGAAGGCTCAGCAGATAAAGAATCTAACTGCAACGCAGGAGACACAGGAGACTCGGGTTTGATTCCTAGTTGGGAAAATCCCCTGGAGAAGGAAATGGCAACCCACTTTAGCATTCTTGCCTGGAATATTCCATGGACAGAAGAACTTGGCAGGCCACAGTCCATGGGGTCGCAAGGAGTCAGACACAACTGAGTGACTAGGCACACAAATTAAAAGTAACCACTCAAACTCAAGTTAAAAAACAAACATTACTAAGTTACTGCTGTGATAAATAACTCAGGAATTCAAATTATTTTAAAAATTCTTCCTACTATCATAATATGACTTGGAGCCATAAGCTTTTAACAGATGTTTCCAAAAGTTTTGTGACTTAGAGAAGGCCGGACCTCTAATGTGTGCCTCAAAACAGGAGATGGAGAGTTCTCCAATTTGCATAAAAACAAGTTTCTTTTAAAAACTGCAAGTTCTCTTTTTACATATTAAACATAATTACTAAGGTGGGCTATTCAAAATGATGGCTAATTCAGGGGTCAAAAAGACTAAACTAGCCAACCTGTTCTTGAGGGCAGTGAAAGTGTGGAGAGAAGGGTGAGGTGGTATCAGAATTGGAGAGTTTACCCCCCAGATTATAACCCCACTTCACTGGAAATCATCCATTACTGATGCCAGTTCTTATTCCTGATGTATCTAGAGTCTAGTGAAATAAAGTGACAGAGCACTTCCTTAGGAATTAGAAGCAAAGGTCCCCAAAGTTACCCTCGGCCAGTATCACTTGACACTCACTGAACTAACTTCTTATGGGCTCTGACCTAGATGGAAGGTGAACATGAATTCTTAGCTTCAGGAGGGTGTGGTGGCCAGAAAACAAATGTCTCTAGCCAAAGACATTACAGGGTCAATGAATGTAAGGTGAGTTCTTGATTTGAGATAATCGAGATGAAACAAATTAATGTACAGTCAAGCCTAGGTGAGAAGTTAAGCAGAGAAAATTTTATAAGAAGTACGTGTGTATTTTGAGTTCTTTCACTTTGCTAAACTAGGAAGTTCAAGCTCAAAGCTCAAAATCACAGAAGAGTAAAACAGCCACTACTATGGACTGATTCATGAAAGCCTGACCACATACCCTAGATTGTATAATTCTATACTCAACCTAGTAACAAATCTACTATAATCCTGTGCAGTGGTTAAAATAAAAAACAGTACCTAAAGTAAAAAATAGTACCAAAAGCTGGCGACACTGAAGATGAACTGGATCACTCAACATTGCTGGTGGGAATGTAAAATGGTACAGCCACTTTGGAAAGGAGTTTGGTGCTTTCTTACAAAGCTAAACATGTGCTTATCAGATGACCCAGCAATTGGACTCTTGGGCACTTATCCCAGAGAAACAAAAACAGGCTCACACAAAAAGCTGTACACTAAGTTTCATAGCAGCTTTATTCGAAATAGCAAAAAAAACCTAGAAGTAACTCAGATATCCTCCAAAGGGTGAATGGTTTAAGCATGTTGTGGTACATTCAAACCATGAAATACTTCTCGGCAATATGACAGAATGAACCATTAGTACGTGCAACAATTTGGATGGATCTCATGGGATAATGCTAAGTGAAAAAGTCAATTCCAAAAAGTTACATACTATATAATTTTGTTTATGTAACATTCTTGACATGTCAAAATTTTAGAAAGTGAGAACAGAATAGGGAAGAGCGTGCCTTGCTGCAGGGATCTTGGTGATGGATCTGTGCTATAGCTTGCCTGGGATGGATACAACATTCTACACAAGGGGAGGTCCCTGGTGGTCCAGTGGTTGGGACACTCTCACTGCCAGGGGTCAGGGTTCCATCCATAGTCAGAGAACTAAGACCCCACAAGCCCCACAGCATGACCAAAAAAACAAAAATAAGAATCTAGACAGGTGTGATAAAATCTGTACAGGACTAAACACACACACAAATGCAAAACAGGCTATCTAAATAAGATCCATGGGCTATTCCTGGTTATGCTGTTGTATCAAACTTTTACAAGATGTTACTATTTGAGAAGACTGGGTAAAGGGTACACAGGATCTCTACTGTTTCTTACAACTGCATGGAAATCTACAATTAACTCAAAATTCAAAATATTAAAAAATTTCTAATAAAAAATTAAAAAGTGAACTAAAAAATGAATCATATCTTATTTTTCATTTGTGATGAACAAGCAGGCAACATTCCACATTATTTTCACAAATAAAGAAAATATGTATAACTATCCAGGTGATAAAAACCATATAAACATAATAAAACCCATCATTTTATTGAGCACTTTACTGTGCTAAGCATCTGATAAGCCTTATCTTGCATAATCCACACAAAAGTCCTATGAGGGGGACTCTACATCACTCATAGTTCACAGAGTGGGGGGCTTCCCCTGTGACTCCACTTCCCCAAGCTATTCGACTAATAACTGGAGCCAAATTCAGACAGGCAAGTGTAAGTCCTTCTGGCTATAAAGTTAGTGCCCATGGGGTGATCAGCGGTGTCGGACTCTTTGCCACTCCATGGACTGCAGGTCGCCAGGCTCCTCTGTCCACAGAATTTTCCAGGCAAAAATACTGGAGTGGGTTGCCATTTCCTACTCCAGGGGATTTTCCAGACCCAGGGACTGAACCTGCGCCTCCTGCACTGGCACTGGAAGCATATTCTTTACCACTGCTCCATCTGCTAAATCCAAATAAAGTAATAAAGTTACATCGTTCTATTTTTGTTTTGCTCAGCTGTCCTGACCCTAAAAATTAAAAAAAAAAAACAACAACAACTTCCATCAAACACTGACAACAGGTGTTAGTTAGGCATAGAACTAGAGGATCACGTAATCTAACACAGGTCTTTCAGAGCTTACACAGCACACTTCCCTCATTTTACAGCTAAATAGGGGTGAAGTGACAGGTACAGGTGAATCATTGTTTCCAGGCCCGTAAAGCATATTTAAAACTACCTGTCAGTCCAGTATTAAAAAAAAAAAAAGGAAACAGATCGCTAAATGATGGCAGAGACCAAGCCGCCTGGTTCATTTATGCGCTCAATATTTACAAGACCAATAATGAATGACATGTCAGGAGTCACATATATGGATGGCCAGAAAACAGCAGACTGTCAGGCGTCGCCATGACAGAGCCTCCGTCTGGAGAAGGTTAGGGCTGGACAGTGCTCTTTAGTGAGCACTCCGCTCAGTAGGAGACGCATTGGAGACAGAGGTTCTCCACAAGGAGCCACAAGGGGCGCGGGGCGGGGCTAGGAAGACGCGAGGTTGAGAGGGCGGAGCCACGAGGGACGCGGGGCGGGGCCTTGGGGGCAGGGCCTAGCTGGAGGAAAGGAGGGCCTCTGGGCCTGCCCAAACGAGAATTTTCACCATCATCATCTCCAGACTTTCTCCTGCGGCGCTAAGTCCGCTGGGCTGTGCAGCTCGAGGACGCGCGACTCGGCGGGCCAGATTTTCAGTTAATCAAGCGATGGGAGAAGGGAAAGGGGAGAGGGTGACCACCACTAGTCCCGCCCCTCTCGGGGCCTAGCTCGTCTACTCACAGCGTCAAAAAGAAGGAGCAAGCTAGCGTCCCAGCGTCTACGGCGGCGCAGGCCTGCCCTTCGCCCTCCGCCGCGCGCGTCCATTGGCCACTGGCGGCTGCGCCCACGTGGGGCGAAGGCGCTCTCTTCATTGGTCTCTGCTTAGGGGGCGGGGCTAGAGGGCGCCGGGACCCAGGCGTTGCAGGTCTCAAGGGCTGGCTTCTAGGGCTTGAGGCAGGGAACGGGGCGCAGGCGATGGTACCAGCGCTGCGTTATCTGGGCAGTGTCTGCGGATGGGCCCGCGGGATTTTCCCCGGGAGCTTCTCCGCGGCGCGCACACCCGCGTCGGGGAAATCCCGGCTGTTGTGCCAGGGTGGCCGCAGAGCCAGCACCAGGTGAGTACCCGCTGGCCCGCCCCCCGCGGTCTGCGCTGCCTCTCTTGGAGTTGCCTAGTGCTGGACCTCTGCCTCTGCTTTTCTTCGCTGTCCTCGGCGAGAGAGAAGCTCGGGATCCTGTGAAGCCCGAGCTCCAGCCCCAGACCCCAAGAGCTACCTGCCTGGATCACTCGTAGGCTTGTGGGCGAGAGGAGAAGAATAAGAAAGGCAGTGTCGAGTAGAGGTCAAGAACAGTCCTGGCTTTTAATACAACTCCACCGCTTCCCATTCAACCTGGGCGGGTTACTTAAGCTCCTTTAAGGCTCAGTTGTGAATCGGAACCTGGTCTCTCGCGCAAGTGGTCGTTTTGAGGATTAAAAGGACCTCACACACTGTAAGCAGTCAAACGTGCTGTTTGTTCGCTGGCCTTCCTGATGTTACTTGGAACATCTGAAACCGGTCTTAAATCAGTCAGTTCCTGGCATACACACAGCTGCATAGAGTTGCCCGTATGAGAAGCAACTCAGCTGCTAATCAAACCCTGCAGAATTCAGCGTCCTGTGTGGTTTGAAATGTGGAGATCACGTATGAAATTACTGTTTTTTACCTGCTCTCTGTATGGGGAGTGGTTTATGTGAAGGTTTCAAGGCTGGAAAGCTCTTGGCTCTTTTTCGGGAACTAGCATGTGGGCAACATGAGTGTGAGTGGAGCTTGGCGAAACAGAGGATGGTGTGGAAAGACACCGGAGAGGGGTTACATCACAGCAGAGGTTTTGCTTTAACTGCACGTGGAATTTTATCTAAGGGCGCTGGGAGACTTTTAAAGACGTGATTAAATGTTGATGTTTCAAAAGTTGATTCTGGCTGCTGTGTATTAGTGGATTGGAGGGGAATTAATGTGGAATAGGATTTGTGATTCATCGTGGGGTATGTAGACTGTTCTTTTGGGAACCTTTTCTTAAGGGAAGAAAAGTAAGGTTAGTGACGGTTTTGTTTATACTTTTTTTTGTTTTGAAATGATTAAAGATCCATAGGAAGTTCTAAAAAAAAAAAAAAAAAAANGGAACCCTCACCCTCTGTATTAGCAGTGCAGTCTTAACTACTGGACCACCGAGGAAGTCGCTCTATTGACTTATGGATTTCATTGTCACAAGTTAGAAATCTGATGTCAAGTGAATTCATGTTTTTAAAAAAATTTTTTTTTCTTATTTTGGAGCATAGTTGATTAACAATGTTGTGTTAGTTTCAGGTATACCGCAAAGTGATGCAGTTATATACATACGTGTATCTGTTCTTTTTCAAATTCTTTTTCCATTATCTTATTACAGAATATTGAGCAGAGTTCCCTATAGGTCCTTGCTGGTTATCTATTTTAAATATTGCGTGTGTACCTGTCAATCCCAAACTCCCAATATATCCCTCCCCCAACCCAGCTTACGCTTTGGTACCATAAGTTCATTCTCTGTCCTTCTATTTTGTAAATAAGTTCATTTGTATCATTTTTTTAGATTGCCCAATTGCAATGTATGATATTTGTCTTTATCTGACTTATTTCTCTTAGTATGATAATCTTCAGGTTCATCCATGTTGCTGCAAATGGCATTATGTCTTCTTTTTAATGACTAATATTCCATAGTATATATGCACCGCATCTTTGTCCATTCATTTGTTGATGGACATTTCAGTTGCTTCCATGACTTGCTATTGTAAACAGCTCTGCAGTGAACACTGGGGTGCATGTATTCTTTTGAACAATGTTTTTCTCCACATATGTGCCAAAGAGTGCAGTTGCTATACATGTAGTAAGCACATGTTTAGTTTTTTAAGAAAAAGGCCATACTCTTTTTCCAGAGTGGCTGTACTATTTTACATTCCTACCAGTAATGTGTGAATTGATCCAGTTCTTCTCATCTTCATCAGCATTTGGTGTTATCACTTTTTAAAAAAAAAAGTCATTCTGATAGGGGTGTAGTGATATCTCACTGTAGTTTTAGTTTGCATTTCCTTAATGACTAAAGGTATTTTTCATGTACTTATTTGCCATGTTTATATCTGTCTTCTTTGATGAAATGTTTGTTTGTATCTTTTGCCCATTCTCTAAATGACTTGTTTATTTCAAGAATTGAGTCCTTTGTCATATACATGGTTTGCAAGTGTTTTCTCCCAATTTGTTCATCTTCTTATCCCCTTAACAGAGTCTTTTGCAGAGCAAAAACTTTTAATTTTGATGAAGTCCAGTTTATCAATTTTTTGCTTTTATGGGTTATGCTTTTGATGTGAACACTTCAAGTTCCTAGCCCTAGATACCTAGCCATAGATACCAAAGATTTTCTCCTGTGTTTTCTTCTTAAAGTTTAATTGTGAATAGTTGCAGATATTTAAAAACTAAATTTTTTGGCTAGAATAATAGCATTGTGTGTGTTTTAAAGAGCTCTTTTAGAAATAACATATTGCATATTTACAGATGATGTTTAGAATTTAGATTGAAATAATATAATGCAAGAGGGAGTAAAAAAAACAAATAAGTGGGGTGAAAAAGTGAAGTTGGGCATGTTCCTATAAAACCTAGATTTGTTGACCATGAGACAACGCTAATGGTAATTTTTTAAGCTTCTCACTGTGGAGTTAGACTATACATACACTTTCTAATTTTTTAAATAATTGTGTAATCAGCATTATCGTGACTAAAATTGGTTCTGAGCCCATTTCTGGACCACTTATTTCCTTAAGGTTTGATTTTTTCACTGTTTCCTTCTAAGCAGAATAAAAGAATTATGACTTTTTGCACACTAAGGTGTTAAAGACTTAATATTAACTTGTCCTCAAAAATACTGCCCTTGAGGGACTTCCTGGTGGTGCAGTGGTTAAGACCCCATGCTTCCAAGGCGGGGAATGTGGGTTAGGTCCCTGGTTGGGGACCTAAGATCCCACATGCTGTGCAATGTGGCCAACTCTCCACCTGCAAAAACCCAGAAACAAACAGAAAAGCACAAAAGAATACTGCACTTGAATTTTTGACACTTAGTAGGGGAGAGTGTGATACTTAACCGAGTAACTACTGATGGAGCCAGCTTCTGCAGAGTATAATGGAAACTTAGAGAAGCTTGGGCACCCAGCCATTTTGCCTGCTGGCTATAGCTGATTAATTTTTAAAGCCAAATATCACAAAGTCCAGTAAACATTTGATTTTAATGATTACTAATTAATAGTTTAGTTGTTCATTGGTGATGAAAATGCGAAGTTTGATAAAATCTATTGTAAACATGTGTTACTTTAAAGATGGCTTTCTTTTAAAGCTCATTTGATATAGTCATTATTGGTGGCGGAATTGTGGGGCTTGCCTCTGCCAGAGCACTCATCCTGCGACATCCAGCACTTTCCATTGGTGTTCTGGAGAAGGAGAAAGATTTAGGTATGTATGTTATCATGTTGCTTAACCCAAACACCTGTGAGCAAACTCTGGGAGATGGTGAAGGACAGGGAAGCCTGATGTACTACGGTCCATGGGGTTGCTAAGAGTAGGACGTGACTGAGCAACTGAACAACGATAAACCTGAACACCTGCTCATGTTGTCAGTTCTGCATCTTTAAATCTAAATGTCAATGCTAGTGTCCCAGTCTGGATTCTTCAAAAAGCAGAGCCTGGGACTAGAACTTGGATATTGGATATTGGATATGGGCTTCCCTTGTGACTCAACTGGTAAAGAATCTGCCTGCAATGAGGGACACCTGGGTTTAATCCCTGGGTTGGAAAGAGCCCCTGGAGAAGGGAAAGGATACCCACTCCAGTATTTTGGCCTGCAGGATTTCATGGACTATATTAATCCATAGTGTTGCAGAGTCAGACATGACTGAGTGACTTAAAAAAAAAGATGATCTGTGAGGTTATCCAAGGAAGCAGTAGTCAGTGGGTAGGGAGAATAAACAGGGAAGGAGGGAAGACTTTGTGAAGGTGTGTTATCCAGGTTGAAGCTGTGAGCTTGATTCCACTGAGACATCTGAGAAACCGCCTAATGTTTCCCAGGATTGTGCTCATGTGCCCTTCAACTTCTGCCCCTTTGTTTGAGGATTGTGCCTAGGGATGTTGAGTCCTTCTGCTCCCAAAGACTAGAGAACACCCTGGGGCAAAAGGCAGAGAGCCATAGTGGGCCCTTGAGGTGGGTTGCTGGTGGTGAGGGCTGGGTTTGTACCCCAAAGTCATAGCTGAAGTCAGAGATGGGCTGAGGGACCTGACACAGACACTGGTTGGCTGCTGGGGGAGCTACAAGTGCCCTGACCAGAAGAACAAACTCAGGCAGAGTTTTAAATAGTGGTCTCTAATAGCTTCAACTCTAACTGTATTCCCCCACTTCTTGGGTTTTGAATGAGTCGTGTATGTACTTTCTCTTAAATGTATTTCTCTTGTTCCATAGCTATTCATCAGACCGGACATAACAGTGGTGTCATACATAGTGGGATTTATTATAAACCTGAATCTCTGAAAGCTAAATTATGTGTGCAAGGCGCAGCCCTCATCTATGAGTACTGTAACCAAAAGGGAATTTCCTACAAGCAATGTGGCAAGGTATGGCATTTTACTAGGGCCTTGACTTATTTATAAATAGTATTTTCTTAGTAATCTTAAATGTTGATTTAAAAAAATACCTGGCTTTTCTTTCTTTGTATCCATGTAATTTGCAAAATCTAGATGTTTCATGTAAATGGGGTCCTGCAAAATGTTCTTTTTTGTGA